GGGGTGGGGTGGGGGTGGATGGAAAAGAACGGTGGCCGCGAGTTCCGCCCGCGGGGAGGGAGGGATGGGGCTGCGCAGGCCGAGGCCTTTGCGCTCTGGAAACGGGCACGTGGGGGACGCGCTGCGGCCGGCGGGAGACCCTGCTCTCTCCCGCCATGCCTGGGCCCACCAGACTTCTCCCCCCCACCCCCAAAGAGTTGTAGGCAAGGAGGGTCGAAACGAGGACCAGCCCTGAGGTTGCACACGCTTCCCCGGAGGAGAATGTGCAAACGGATGGGAGGATGGCGCCGGGGTCGGTGCGGGGGGGGGGGCCGCGGGGGGCAGGAGAAGCCTGCTCGGCCAGGGTTGTTAAGGGGTTAACACGTGCAAAAGCATTTAGCTTAGCTGTATTTAACGAGAGCGTTTTGTGTCTCACAGGTACAGTTAGAAGTTCGCTGGGTACCTTGACCCGGGGGTCTTATTTATGTGGCGAGAACTTGATCTTAAGTCTTCTCAGACCTCCAAATGGTTCTAAGAAGGAGGCTGGCTTGTTGAGGGCGGGGGCATTCTAATAGAACAACGTGGTTTTCCTCTCCGGGATGATGAAGTGGATGGAGGATGAGATGGAGCAGGACATTAGTATATACCGAGTGAGCTCAGTGCGCCACATCGCTGTGAAGATCTCAGGAGTGGCAATGAAGGGAGGAGACAGGTCCTGTCGGGAGGGCTAGACTTCCAGAATCAATGGGTGAACCAGGCACATCCTGTCCCCAAGGACTCCTATTTTATACCATCTCCTGTTTTTAAAATTCTGAGAAGACAACGCTTTAAAGACTCAAAATACTAACCTGGTTTCAGGAGAACCAACTCAAGAGTTTGTTATTTTTGAAAACAGTTGCCAGCAAAACATCTCTTCACACTAATAGCCAAAGAAATTTTCGTTGTGTTAAGGAAAACGTTTAATTTAATTAAAACTAACTGCAGGTAAACGGTTTTCGGTGATCTTGGGGAATTCTTGTCTCTCAAGCTTGTTTACAGTTGAAATACACATCCCAGGTTTAAACTACACACCTACTTTAATTCCAAATCTGGATTTGGAGGATTTAATTTAGCGTTAGTAGGGGCTTAGACATCTGTCATAAAATCTTGACTTAACCAATAGATGTTCTTTTCAAGTGAGCATTTAGATTATTGAATAGTTAAGGACTCAACATATCAACGAGAAAAGTTTATCAGGTCCGTCCCCGCCCCCACCACACAGGGTTTTCCTGTAGCTTTGGAGCCTGTCCTGAAACTAGCTCTTGTAAACCAGGCTGGCCTGGAACTCACAGAGACCCGCCTGCCTCTGCTTCCCGTGTGCTGGGATTAAAGGCCTGTGCCACCACCGCCGGGCAGTTTGTCAGTTTTATCTGTTGCAAAATACCTGGGTTTTTTTGTTTTTAGTCTTGGGTCCTATAATTGACAGTGTTTAATACTGAGTGTGGCACCTGAGCTGGCCTTTCTTGAGATTAAAAAAAAAACAAAACAACTTTTGGCAGAACCAATGTGACTAAAATTCTATGGCTTATTTCATTATTTGTTGCTTCGGGGAGCTAATTGTTGTGCACACTGAGGTGGTGGGAATGGCTGCTTCATGCTTATTTAGTTCTTCATCAATCACGGACCACTGGACCATGTTACCTACTGGGTTTGTAGGCAGGAACTACTAGACCAGGCAGGTAGTTAGAGGCCAGCCTGGTCTACAGTGTGAGTTCCAGGACAGGCTCCAAAGCTACACGGAAACCCTGTCAAAAAGGAAGTAACAGCTAAACCTTGGAATAGCCTTTCATCGCTAAAAACGTATCTGGGCTCCATTTTTAATAGCCTGAAGCTTTGTGCATCTTTGTTTATATTCTTTTCACACTAGAAATGAGCTGTGGTTTCCTTAGAATAGAGTACTACAGGGGCTGGCTTGGGTTAAGAGCGCTGGTGAATCTTCCAGAGGACCTGGTTCTAATTCCCAGCACCCACATGGCAGCTCACAACTGCCTATAATTCTGGTCCCGGGGACTCTAACAGGTATGCGCGTGGTGTGCAGACACACATGTAGGCAGAACACCCACTCACATAGGAGTAAAGGTTAGAAAACTTTAAGGATTCCAGGGGGTACAAATAGTCGAGGCACAGTGATATTGAGGCTTCGTTTGTTTTTAAACCTCTTATTACATGTCTGCTGTGTAGATGAAGCTGCCCTAGAACTCAGATCTGCCTGCCTCTGCCTGTGGAATGCAGAGATTAAAGGCTCGGCATTGTTTAAATTCCATACGCATCGTTCATTCATTTGTTTATTTAAGGCTGTCAGGTAGCATTAACTTTCTTTTGAAACTGTTTTACTGTACGGACTTAGGTGGTGGTGCATTTTAACTAGAACAGGTCTAGCGTGGTAAAAAGCTTATCTAGAGTTACTTAGTTTTGCAACGATGACTTTGTCTTTTAAATCGTGTTTTGCTCACATGTCTGCCTGGTAGCTGTGAAGGGTGTCAGATCCTAGCGTGAGAGGACACCTAGAGTGGGCTCTTGGTCTCTGCAGGGAACACAAGTGCCCTGAAGCAGTGAGCCATGTCTCTAGCCCCTTTATGTTGGTGGGGTTTTTATGTTGTCTGTTTTGTTTTTCTGCATAGCCCTGGCTATCCTGGAACTCACTCTGTAGACCAGGCTGGTCTCGAACACATCCTCCCGCCTCTGCCTCCCGAGTGCTAGGATTAAAGGCTATATATTGAGTTATAAAGGATGTTGTCAGACTGGAAGTTCTGGACATCAGTGTAGAATTCAAAAGCACTGCTCTGGGTTTTTCTGTGGCAAAAAGCTATAGTGTAGTCAGGTGATTTTGTTCCAACATGGAATTTGCTTACATGTAATTAAATACTGGCTGCTTAGAAGCCTTTGCATATATAAGCTGTGTGTGTCACATACGCATAAAACTGAAAGCTGAATGGAGATCAATTGTTACTAGTAAGTGAGGGATTTTGCCAGCTGCTTGTCCCTTGTATATCTGCTGTTGGGTTCGAGGATACTCTACCTATGGGAAGCTTTTGTACATACAGAAGGTAGTGTTCTTAGGTAGTCCATTTAGCTTGGGAGTTTAATATTTGGCCTGGCCAGTTTTGATTTCACCAAATGAAAAAGTGTTTAAATTGTGAGGTTCAGCTGGAGGAGCCACCTTGGTGCTGTGCCCTGAACTGGTGAGAGGACTCCAGAGCAGCTGCTTCTGAGGGCTGAGACAGAGAAGCCCAGTCACTGGGTGTCCTGGAGTCTTGTTAAACCATCATCTAAAGTGATGCTTCATCCTAAGTCATTATTTTCTAAAGAGGAAATGTTTGTCTGCTGATGAATTTCATGGGAATTTTTCCAGAAAATGATTGGCCAGAAGGTAAGTTGGTGTCTGGCTGATATGTCCAAGACCATAAGATGATCAGTGTGTACGTATGTCATCAGGGCTTTTGTTTTGCCTCACCTCTTTCTGTGGAAATTCTTACTCATTTCAGTTCAGATTAATAATTGACTTAAGGAAAGTTAGAAACTCCCCATTGAGATGGTCTATGCAGTATTGGGTTACACATTGAACATTCTCTGATAACGGTCCTGACGTTTCTTCCTTTTGTGGTAGTATACTTTGGTTAGGGGATTGTATTTTGTTTTACTGCTCTGATGATGTGGGAAATATTTTAGCTGGACATGGGACATACGCCTGTAGCTCCGCACTGGGGTATCTGAGGCGATAGCATCCTGAGGATGTAGTGATCCCAGGACTTGAGTGTATTAACTAATGATTTTAGGCCATAAGCAACCTCACTAGGCTATTCTATTACATATACCCTTCACTAGAAGGGAGTGACTCCAGGCTGGCAGTCTAACGGTGATGCAGGGGAAGCGCTGTCTATGTACCCAAATACTTACAGCTGTCTGTTTCCATGTGGTCGGTGGCGGTTCTGTCAGGTCTAGCTCTCTGGGTGGTGCTGGGGAGCAGACTCAGGTCCTCCCTGAGCAGCAGTCGCTTTCCTGGCTAAGCTGTCTCCCTGGCTGAGAAATAGAACAGCTCAGTAAACATAGGGTTGTGCTTCTCAGTGTGATCTCAGGGCCCCCTTGCTGCCGCAGCAGGGGTTCTTGGTTAGAATACTGATACTTTGGGTTTATTGGATGTTTTGGTTTAGAATCCAGCCTTGGAGTCCAAGAACAGCCCTTTTTCTAACATTTAGATTTACAAAAGGTTATGTTAGTTGCTATACTGTGAGGTACTCTTTGTTGCTCTAACAAAATGCTCAAGAAAGCAACTTAGGGAAGAGTTTCTTTTGGCTCATAGTTGAGTGGTCCATTATGGGGAGGAAGTCATGGTGGGCGTTGGGCTTGAATCTCTGGTTAGAGAGGTGAAGGCTAGCGCTCCTTCACTAGCCCATGGAATGCTCCTGTCTGCATTTAGGAAGGTTTTTCACTGTAGCTCCGGTCATAATTGTCAAGCATGCTGAGAGGCTTGGCCTTAGGTGATTCTAGATCCTGCCCAGTTGACAATGTCAGCTGTCACAGTATCCTTGCGGAGTATGCTCTTAACTGGCATATCATCCTAACCTACTAGCTTGCAGAAGTATTGACCCCCATGCTAACGGTGAATGACTAACCACTGCAATGTTTGCTAGAATCAGTATTTAGTTAACCCAGCAAGTTCCAAGATGTTTCTCAATTATGTTGGTGCATATTATAAAACAAAATAGTACAGAATGAAAAATGTTCTCAGCTTGGTTCATGCTTACTGTCCTTGTGTTCCGAGTCTGAGGTGAGATTGCCCAAAGTTGGAGAGTCTCTGGGCTGTGCAGTTCTAGCCCAGCCTAGGCTACAGGGTGAAACCCTGCTTTAAGGAAAAAACTCCTTTGTCCTTGCTGTCTTGTTCTGTGGAACTATTACTGTTTCTTATGCTTTTGTACAAAGGTCTTAAGGAACTGGAAGTATAGCTTAGTGTAGTGTGCATTTGATTCCTGTGGCCAGATTACTTTCTAGGAAAAGTAACTTAACCCATGTTTAAGAACATCTGTTCACCCTGGGTTTCCCTGTCTTGAAAGAAATCTTTAGTGATTTAATAGGCAGAACATATAATCCCAGTTGCTTTCATTAGAGATTAAGAATCAATGTTCTTCTCAATTTTAAATTAGTATTTGTAATTAAAATTAGTATTTGTAATTTTATAAAAAACACTGTTGCTAGAGACAGTTTCAGTACGCACTGCATAAAGCAGATGGGAAGGGGTGGAGTGATGGGGGCCAGTGTTCTGATTCCTAAAGCACCCATGACCCCGTGACTGAGGCGCCCGCTTGTGCTTTCCCGGCACACTCACCGTGTCCCCACATTATACACCATCCAGTGGGATGGGTGTTGCTAAGTTACTGCATACAGTGTGAAGAGCAGTGACAAACAGGTCTGCAGGCTTCAGTTTGAAGGCCTTCCCAGCGCCCTCTTTGTGTTCTCACTGTTCCTGCTGATACTGTGCATGTTTTTGGTGACTGAGTCTTCAGGGCAGGGAAACAAGTCCCAAAAGCTGGTGGTGGGCATACTGGAAGTCTCCTGAGTGGCCCCGCAGAACTAGGCTGCCCTGCAATCTGAGCCACCTTTATGGTGGTCACAGGACTGAGAACTAAACTTTGCTGTTTAAGCTGCTATAGTATTGAATTCTGTTACTGCACTTTCCTCATCCAAACCCTGAGTCAGTGGACATCTTTAGAAGCTTCTAGAGCCCAAGGGGATGGCCATAAGAAATAGGTTTTTGGCAGCTCAGGCTGTCATCTACCTCCAGTAAATACTCCTGCGATAGCTTCAGAGTACTTGGGCCGTTCAGTTTTCATAAAATAGTTGAAAGGTGCAGGAACTATTCCTGTTTTCAAAGCCTTCTAGAGTCATAAAAAGGATAGGTAGGCAAAAGTGTTCTTTTGTTTTGTTTTGGGGGAGGGTTTGAAATAGCGTTTCTCTGTAGCTTTGGAGCCTGTCCTGGAACTAGCTCTTATAGACCAGGCTGGCCTTGAACTTGAGATCCCCCTGCCTCTGCCCCCTAGTGCTGGGATTAGAGCGCCACCACCACACAGCTAAGCAACGTTTTTGAAATGAATTTGATGACTTACTGGGTAAAGTTCTAAGTTCTAATATCCACGTATGCCATGGGACACACACAATAAATAAATGTCATTTTAAAATAAAAGGGATTAAAACACAAAGTCCCAGCACTAGGGAAGCAGGCAGATGTCTGCGCTGAAGCTAGCCTGGCCAACACAGTGAGTTCCAGACCAGCCAGGGCTACATGGTGAAAACTTGTCTTTATTTTTTTTTTAAAGGTGGTGCATTTGCGCGTCTTTAATCCCAGCACTCAAGTGGCAGAGGCAGATGAACCTCTAAGTTAGAGGACAGCCAGGGCCGTTACACAGAGAAACCCAGTCTTCCGAAAACAACAAAAAATGATTCTAAGGGGCTAAGTTGACCATTGTTGTTAAAAGTTTTTGCTTAAAGACAACTAATATTTGATGGTTGAAGCAGGTGTGCATTCTTCGTCTGTGAAATTGCAATACCTAGCCTCTGAAAATTGTTGTCTTCTCCATAAATGGGGGGGAGCATTCAAGACAGGATTTCTCTGTAACAGTCCTGACTGTGGAGCAGGCTGGCCTCTAACTCACAGAGATATGCCTTCCTCTCTGCCTCCCTGAGTGCTGGGATTAAAGGCGCCATGGTTTTTTTTTTTAACGCATGCTATTGTAAAGGGAATACACAATTACTTGATTATGTTGTATTGATTATAGTGTTCCACTTCAAGTTTTTCTTAGCTTTAAATCATGCTTATTTCTAATACTGATTCTTTTTTTTTTCTTAGATATTTGGAGTTCTTACAAGATGGCAGACATTGACAAGTAAGTGGCAGATATTTCTTCGTATTATGGCGTAGTTAGTGGCGGTACAAATTGTGTACTGTGAAAATGTTACTGACGTCCTTTGATACATGGTCTATGGGAAGTTGGGTAGAATATCTAATCTAAAATGCTTTATTCACTCTGCAGTAAACCAGTCCCTGGCAATGGGCAAAGAGACACCTTGGTGGTGGTGTTGTCTTATATCAGCCAGGGGCAGAGCAGATGGCAGTCCTTTGTTCATCCTAGCTTGATGCCTGTCTTGGTGGCCAAAGCTGTTTCATGCCTGGGGCACATAAGAAAAAAGCCAGGTGTACTGGCACACACACGCCTTTAATGCCAGCATTCGGGAGATCAAAACAGGCAGATACTTGTGAGTTGGGGGCCAGCCTGGTCTACAGGGTGTGTCTAGAACAAATGACAGTAAACCATTTGCCAGTGTTTGGTCCTAAAAAAGTGCTGCGCCCTGGGCGGGGGTGGTGCGCACCAGCCCTTAGGAGGCAGTCGGGCCTGTGAGTTCAAGGACAGCCTGGTCTACAACCCAAAGAAAGAAGTGCTGAGCATGGTGGTAGATCATAACTACTTGGGAGAATTTTTGGCCTGTATGTATTTCTCAGCATTTTTCCTATTAACACTGTGAAGACATGTAGAATTGGAATAGCAACAGTATACACACAGGTTGCAGTGAGAAGGTTGGTTGGACTCTTCCCCTTTGGGCCTTTCAATTGCATGCTCCACCTTACCCCAAGTGTAAGGGCTCTTCAGTTTTGTTTTCATTCATTTCTTTGCTTTTTTAGAATGTTACTGTTGGTTTGGGGAGATGGGTGGGCTGTACTAGGGATTGAATTTAGGGTTTCACACATGCCACCGAACTGTCCCCCCAAGCTGACTGTTGAATTGTAAGAACTGAATAGGAAGCACTGACTTAGCTTTGTAACGTGGTGTTGCTGTTGTGGCTTAACCTTTTTTGAGGCTCGGCAAGGTTTGTTGTGGCATCTTGAAACACAGGTGTCAGTAGGTTTCCATGTAGTGTGGGTGACTGTCATGTAAGATTATAGTCAGGGAGGATGGGATAGGCTGCTCTGTCATGTTTAATTTGACAGTAGTCTTACCAGCTCCTCACAATAGTTAGCTACAACACTGGTGATTAAGATTGTCGCTGGTTTAGATAATGAGGGCATGGAGTTGGGGGAGGGACAGAAACTTGACCGGGTGAACAAATACAGATTTATGTCTTTCCCATATCTATACATGCTTGCTGTCTTAGAAGAGGACGAGGAAGTAGATTACTTTGACATGTAGCCTGACTGTTGGCCTGTATGGTTAGGGTTTAGAATTCTAACGAATACGTTTTATTCAGGATTTTGAAGGGGCTGCTTTGTTGTCACTGCCTCCAGTGTGATGTTGAAATTCAGAAGCCACAGTTCTTTGATCACATATGCACTTCATTTGTTTTTGATGAGTTTCAAAGGGCCCTGGAGCTAGCTCTTGTAGACCAAGTTGGCCTCGAACTCACAGATCCACCTGCCTCTGCCTCTTGGGTGCTGGGATTATAGGCGTGTGCTACCACTGCCCAGCTTGATAAATTTCTTTAGTTTGGCTTTGGTTTTGAAAATATTTAGTTTTGTCTTATCACTTGATACAGCCCTCCAGTAGTGGGCCTTCCAGTTGCCCAGTCAGTGGCTCTCCTTCTGTCGGGCACACTTTGACTTGCTCTCTTGCCTCTTCTCTCTCTGCAGCTCTTGTTAGATGTCTGTCTTGGAGTGTCTTCAACTTCTTATCTTCAGTTCTTCATCTTTGCCTCTTTGCTTTTTCTGGACAGAGATTAAGGAACTTTTTTGTATCCCCAATCTTGCTTTACTTCTCTCCTGATCTTGGTTCACTGTCATTCTCTGGATGCTGCTTTCTTTCCTGTTTGGTCTTGTTTACCCTCCTCCTTTTAGTTTGATTAATTTGTAATCTTTTCTGATGGGTGCTTGATCATCTTGTTTGTTAAAATTGGTGTTGAGGGATACGGGATTGAGTGCTTTGAAAGATATTAACAATAGTTGATTAGAAAGCACGCAGGTCTTTTTCATGTGGGACTCTGATGTAGGGTCATTGCTTTGAGGACCCCCGATGTCAGAATGACTTCTTGGTGAGTGTCTGGGTGTTGATGGGGTTCCACTGTTGCATCAAGGAGGTAGCTAGGGAGGTTTTCAGCATCTGCTTTATAAGCAGTCATATTAGGCACTCAAAATAATGTTACCAATACTGTTACATACTGAATAGCTTGTATTCTCTTGAAGATTGTCTGTCATTTCTTACTTAGATTTTAATGAACTTGATTGTCATTTCTTTTTTCTGGCTTCAAAATTTTGTTCCCCTTTCCTTGATATCCTTAACCCTTTAATTACTTTCATCCTTTTTTTTGTTTTTGAGTTGATGATCTTAAGAGTTAAACTTAGATGTCATTAATCTGCAGTCTTAGCAGCCATCATTTTTTAAGCAATTAAAACTGCAAATTGATTATAACAGCTTGATTTCCCCCGCTTCCCCCATTTAATTCTGTGTGGCTGTTAGTCCTGGGAAGGTGAGAGAAGGGGCCCTCAAAGGAAGAGCCAGTTACCTGAGAAAGAAAGGCCTAGGTAGGAGTGATTTTTAATTACTTTGAGCCTTAAAACTGCTTGCAGTATCCTTGCTGTTTTGTTACTATACCTGTATTATTTATAGAAACAGAAGTAGGCTGGATTTGGCCATATGATAAGGTTTGTGAAATCTCTTTTAAAGACTTGGAGTAAATATTTGAGCATAAATAAAAGACGGGCGGCTGTGTGTTAGCTAACAGCAGCCCCTGGCTGTGCATGCACAGATCATAAGGAGTCGGTCCTGAAACTAGCCCTGAGTTTCTCTCTCGTTCATAGGGTCATAGATTCTACTTGAGTTCCAGTACTCTGGTTTGTAGACTACCCCGTTACATATGGAAAAACCTCCCCAAAACAAAACCAAAATATAAAAGAAAATTGTTCTTAACCCTACCCTCTTTATTGCTAAATTTAATCTCATGTCTACAAAGTAGGGTTTGCCAAGACGATGAGAAAGATGTCTTCTAATGCAAGTGTCCTGACTAAATTTAAGCAAGGAGTTGGCTCAAAGGTCTAAACATGACTTCTCCATCTTTGCTGTGCCATAAAATATTCATAAGCAGAGATACGGGATCCCTGTTTCTCTTTTTTTCCCCCAAGACGGGGTTTCTCTGTGTTAGTCCTGACTGTCCTGAAACTCACTCTGTAGACCAGACTGGTCTTGAACTCACAGAGATCCGCCTGTGTCTGCTTCCCAAGTACTGGGTTTAAAGGTGTGCACCACACCACTACCTGGCTTGTTTTTGAGATAGGAAATCTCTGTTACCATGCCGCCCTGGCTATGATAGTGAAATCTTATACACCAAATCATTTAAAACTTTAAGAATCATTATCAAATGGAAGGTAGTCTGAGCTTGATCCATCCTCTGAGTTCCAGGACAGCTAGAGAACTACATAGGGAAACTGTCAAACAAAAAACAAACCACCACCACCACCAAGTAAAAACAAAGAACCCAACCATTCCCTGCCATAAATTGGGAAAGTGATGTAGGCCTGTAATCCTGGCACTCTGGAAGGTAGAGGCAGAAGTGTCAAGTTCAGAGCCTTCACCTGCATAGAAAGTTAGGTGCCAGCATAGGCTACGTGAAACAAATGTACAAAAAAAAAAACCCAGCAAATAAAATGTCATTGCCAAAGCCTGCTCAGTTATTTAGTTATAAAATGGACTAGGCAACGGACTTCATCTTGGTAATTTGTTATGATAGTGCAGTCATTGGATACAAGCTTGAAAGCATGTTTCCTGAGGGCGCAGACCTACTAAACTGCATTTTTGAAGCTTGTTTTAGCTGGATGGTTTTAAGTGGATGTGTGAAGTACTTCAGTTAGTACTTGTCTACGTATTAGAGTTAGAAAATAATCACTTTTGAATTTCTGTCCTTTTAAAAGAACAAAGATTTTTTTATTGAAAAATCAAGTTTCTCTGTAATTTTGTTTTGTAATTCATACATTTAAACTGGTGTGATGCTATGACATTGTAGCAAAGAACAGTCTGAACTTGATCAAGATTTGGATGACGTTGAAGAAGTAGAAGAAGAAGAAACGGGTGAAGAAACAAAACTCAAAGGTATTCTTTTCAATTACTTGAGGAGCCAGCGGTTGCTGGCGTGCTCTAGAGGAGAGGAATAGAAGCTGTCTCCCCCCTTCCTCCCGTCCATTGTCCTTTAGTGTAGTAACTGTGTGTGTTCCGTGTAAGGAAGGAAGATAAGTGAGTGTAATAACATTCCCCCCTGTTGCTGGAGTTAGAGCACCTAGCTGTGTCATTTCAGAAGGGTTGGAAGTGGGAATAACTTGGCAGTGCTTCTAAACTATGTTTGCTATTTAATTAAGGTAGAAAGTGTTGTGTCTATCTTTTAAAATGTACCCCAGTAAACCCCAAAAGGGCACATATAAATGTATGTAGATTCAGTGAGAGTTTACCTAGCAGATAAATTATGAAAAATTCTGAGTTCCAGTGTTTTTTCAGTTATAATTGATGCTGCTAAATGTCTATTACTATAGTTGTGTATCATCTAGTTATTGAATTACTATTAAAAGCAAATTGGTCTCCAAGAATACAACTGAAAATGATTTTGTTATATTCTCAATTAAATGTACATAAAGTCAAAGCCCATTTTTTTTTTATTACAAATCAAACATAAACATCCAGATAACACCTTCAGTTTTCTCTAGCCTAAAGTGCACTTGGAGTTTTCTGGTAAGTGTGACTTGTGGAGACTTGGGTAGGCATCGGCACAAAGCATTTTGCTTCCCAGCGTGAACTGGAAAGAAAGAGTTTTGTTCATTATGCTTGTGATGACCTAGAGAAATCCTGGGCTTTTTTTTCCCTGAGTGCTGGGCTGTCCTCAGCTTACTGTACACATCTACTCCTCACACCAACATTTTCTGGGCCTGTTAGCAAGACTTCATGAATGGGTGTCCCGTGGAAATGGCAGAAATGGTTTTACAAATCCTTTCAATGCTCCCTTTCTTTTTAAAAGCGCGTCAGCTGACTGTTCAGATGATGCAAAATCCTCAGATTCTTGCAGCCCTTCAGGAAAGACTGGATGGTCTGGTAGACACACCAACAGGATACATTGAAAGGTACAAATTCTTTTTTTTCCCCCTACTCTCCTAATTTATCTTTTCTGTAAAAAGAACATTGAAGCTTACCTGTGTGGTCATGGAACGCTAATGTCTGTTAGTATCTAGTATAAAATTTTTCAGAGTTAAGAATGATTAGATTGGGTCCTGACTTGGTTCAAGTCTGTAGGAAGTGAACATCTTAGCCATTTCTGTGATTTGTTTAGAAATTTGTTAGGAATGTACAGAATTAGAAATACAGGTTTTTAAAATACAGATTACTTCATGTGCCACCTAACTCAACTATCCTGGCTTACTGGAAATGTTCCATGGTTCTGTGTGTCTGCCCTTAGGTTGCCTGCTTTGCTTTTGGACTCCTGTTGACAAAGACTATACTGGAATGGGACCCACCATTCTTTATCGCCTCTTAGGGACTCAAGAATTTCTTTGTTACTGTTACTTGGTGATAGAATTTCTACTTAGAGAGCAAACATTCTTTATGGCTTGTAACAAGATTTCTGGAGGTGCTAGGATTTCTTTCCAAAGATGTTTAGTGGCTTTATCTTCCCTGTCTCTGCCATCCAGTTTTTTGTGGATTATTTTCTTTTCAACCAGTTTTAGAAGGTGTGATCTTGTTTTACTGTCCAGCAAACTTGGAGCTGCTTTTCAGAAAATGTGCAAGTCTTGTAGCCCATTGTGCCCTCTTTTCTTACTGAGGTTACTGTTGTATCACATTTTCAGAAATTCTTAATGTATTCATTCATATTCCTTCTTAAATTACTATAAAAAGTATTCTTCCAGTGAAGTTCTTCAGTAAACAGAAATCCTGAATTTTTATATTAGCAAAATGGGTAGTGTTTTGTTTTTCCTTTTGTGCTCGTGACTTGGGTTCTAATTGTTTAGGGAATCTTTCTGAGCACCTGCTTTCTTGGTGGCCAGTTGGACCTCTCACGTTTAGGTCTTTAATTTCCTTCAAAGTCCAGCTTTGTGCTTGCTACAGGTAAACATCCATTCCTTCTTGTTTTTCAGTAAGTTCTTATTAAACTGTTAGCTATGAACTTTGATTTATACGTGTACCATCTGTTAACATAGGATGTTCTTTTAAATAATTGAATTTGTCTGTGAGTAGAACACACAGACAAATTCCCTGGTCTTTCAATCTGTTTCTGTCTTTACCCATTTAGTAGCTGTAGCTTCATAGTGTTAACACCTGAGACAGGCTTCTGGAACCAGCTTTGGGCACAGTCTTCACGTTGATCAAGACAGGATTCTTTATTCCTTGACAGATGCTTCCTTCCACACAGTCCTATGTGTGAATGCAATCAAGGTCACCTGCCTGTGGCTCTCCCACGGTTGACAAGGCTGTCAATTTTTAACTCAGAAAGTTACAGCGACTTTCCTATCACAGATGGACAGAGTAGTGTATCTTTATCTTCCGTATGTTTGTATCGATGATCACATGCTATCTTTCAGCTTTGTGATTACCTTAGAATATTGGTTATATTGATTTCTGTATATTTTGCTTGTGGTAACCCTATTGTGAATGGTATTCCTGCTTATATGAAGAAATGCTGTTTTTTTTAAATGATAGTGTATTCAGTAATATTGCTAAAATCATTTGTAGCTCCCCCCATTCGAGATCAAACTAGCCTCATCACCAAGGAATAAACATAATTAATATGTTAACATCACTTACTTGTGAGTATATATATATATATATATATATATATACTATGTGTACAAAGAAACTTTAATGGGTTGTTTATAGTTATAAGCCAAGATTTGCTTAACAATGAGCAGGAATGTTTTTTTCTCTTCTTCCTACCTCAACTTCTTTAGAAAGTAATGAAAAACCTTGTACTTTTTAATTTGGAGTTTAATGCTTTTGGGGAGATTGAGGCTACTTTTAAGTAATTGTTTATGAATGTGTTGCCGCCATGTTTGTATATGAAATTGTGTGCTGACTCTGGAGGTCAGAAGGTCTTGGATTCCTCTTTAGCCACCATGAAAATGCTGGTAACACAGCCCTGGGCCTCTCCAAGATCAGTAAGTGCTCTAAACATTTCTAGCCTTGTAGTCTATCTCCTCCCTTCTGTGCTCCCCCGCCCCCCCATACACTTAAGAGGAGGTGGCTGACCTGGAACTTGGTATGTACACCAGGCTGACCTAGAATTCAGACATCCCGCCTGCCTCTGCCTCTCAAGTACTGATAATAAAAGACTGATACTGTCATACCCATTGTAAAAGTCCCAAGTTTTCTTTAGTGTAAATTTTGGTTTGCTGTTTTCTGAACATGTATGTATATATGTTTGTAGTATGTAGCTTAGGACTTAAAATCCTCTAGAGCACCCAGGTTCAATTCCAAACACCAAATGGTGGGTCATAACCATCTGTAACTTCAGTTTCAGGTTATCTGACTCCATATATTCAGGCAAAACACACATAAAAATAAAATAAAATCCTCGGTTATCTTGGTCTTGCTAATGTTATTAGAGCCTTTACTGTTTTGGTTTTTTAGTGTTTTGAGACTGGGCTTCTGTAGCACTGGCTGTCTGGAACTTGTTCTGCAGAGCAGGCAGCCTTGCATTCAGATTCGCCTGCTGGGTGCCCAGCCCTTAGCTTTACTCTGGATTCTTTTCCGTGTTTCTGTGACGGCTCTCCTAGTTGTCTCTGGCCATGGTGTGTACTTGCTTTGCTTTGCCTCTTGGTCTAATCTGTCCTTCATAGCCTTAGCATTCTTTTTTCTTAAGATTTATATTTTTGTGTGCATATGTGGTTGCCCAGGGAGGGTAGAAAAGGACAATAGATCTCTGGAACTGGGCTTACTGTTTGCAGCCCAACATGGGTGCTGTGACGTGACTGGCGTCCTGTGTTAAGAGCAGTAGACACTGTTAGTCACTGAGCCATCTGTTCGGCCCCCCTCTTATTTTTGTAAATTCCAATGGGGAGCAGTGAGATCGAAACCTGACTACCTGAATTTAATCCCTGACAGCCACTCAGAAGTGGGAGGAGAGAACTATCTCCGGTGTTGTCATTGACCTGTGCACAGCTCCCCCAACTGTGGAGGGAAGAAGACATCCTGACCATAATAATGTTCAGCGTAGTTGAATTGCTTAAACTTTCTGCTTCTTTGTAGTAACTGTTTACTTAGTCTGGATATGTGAACATGGGCTTCAGTTCCCCGTGTAGACTGGTTGAATTTAATTCAGTTTATGGTTGTGTGTGCCTGTGTACTTTGGTTTTTGTATTTTGTAGTTTTTTCATTGAGACATATATGTCTTTGTGTCTGCTACCGTAAGGTAAAGTTTTCTTTCTTAAGTTCAGCCCTTTGAGACATGAACCCAATGTGACTACTCTGGTCTCAGGTTTCTTATGTAGCTTCTTGATGTCTGTCTTTAACCTCTCTGCAAGTGTGTGCCATGTGTATGGCTCTAAGGGAAGCCAGAAGAGGATGTCATATCCTAAATACAATCGTGTTTACTATGTTTAGCTATCTGGGGCTGTCTTTCTCTGTTTGTGCCTTCCTGTGTTTCACAGCTAGATCAAACAGCTGTATTTATATTGGATAGCTTATAGAATACTTTAAAGATGATATTTTTTCTTCAAGGCAATAGTTTAATTTACTATGATGTTTTATGTAGTATTGAATTTTTTTGCTTTAAATAATACGGTTTGCCTCTTGCAAAAGCCTTACGTACCCATTTGTGTCGACCAGTAGCTCACAGCATTGTGAAGTCAATTTTTCAAGTTACACGTCTTTATCTCTTGTGCACCATTAGCTTTGAAGACAGGTGTACATTTGATTCCTTCTCCTTTGTGACTTATTTTTTCCTTTGGAATTTTGTCTTTAGTATTATTGAATAGGAAGAGACAGTGGTTGTCCAGGGGAGGAACTGATTAAGGATTTCTTACAAAATGGTTTCCCCTAACTTGTCATCAGCTTGTTTCCTGGCATCCTCTCTTGAGGCTGCAGTTTCTGTACTAATGGGACAGCAAACAGTCTTGCTTGGAGTTGACTATGGAGGTGTGTGCCTTCTTTCCGGAGTTTTCTCACTTGCTCTAAAATTTCTAGGGTTAATTTTGCAATGAGGAAAAAGGCTAGCAGCATATACTAGTCCCCAATTCCATCACTCTCCGAGCACACACTGTCAGTGTGTGGGGCTGTCCTCTGCCCTCTGCCCTCTGCGGGTTGTCAGGCTTCTGTAGAGTAGAGCAGAGCTGATCCAGTTGAATGTGTTAGTTCTTTGATTTTACTATTCTAATGGTTAGGTAAGAATTATTTTATAATATTATGGAAAGAATTCAATGGGTATTCAGGTTATTTCTTACTCAGATTTTCTAAAATTAGGTATGTCTTGCTTCAGTGTGAACTTTAGGGGCACTAGACAGAAGGGTTCATGACTTTAATCTAATTATGTACGATTCAAAAAGAGTACCAACCAGGTATGATGTACACATCTCGTCATCCCAGCACTTGGAAGGTAGAAGTGGGATGATCGGGAGGTCAACGGTCATCTTTGGCTAGACCCTTGGCAGCCAGTGGACAGTATGAGACCTTTGTACCCTCTGAGAACAAGACGTCATTGTGTATTGTATTATATCAGTTTTGTCGGGTATGAATGGGCATATTCATCATAAGTTCTTAATGTCATTTCAAGTTTCAATTTAAATATAGAAAGTGATGAAAAATAGCCATTTCTCCAAAGCACACTCCTTTCCCCTAGTTAATACAGATGAGGTAGGTACCTACACACAAATCAAAAAATTAAGTTAGACTGATGCACATATCACTGAGATTCTGTTCATACTGAACTTTATTATAAAATATTTTGTTTCAGTTTTCATGAGAATAAAAACACAACAATGAGTTGTGTTTTTCTATGATTCTTATGTAGCTGGTTTCTAAACTTTCAGCTTGCCTAAAGTAGTCAAGAGACGAGTGAATGCTCTCAAGAATCTTCAAGTTAAATGTGCACAGATAGAAGCCAAGTTCTATGAGGAAGTTCATGATCTCGAAAGAAAGTATGCTGTTCTCTATCAACCTTTATTTGATAAGGTATGAATTATGCTTCTTATTTAACTCGGGAAAACATACTTGTGAATGGTGATACTTAGCAAGTGGTATGGGTAGTGAAACCAGCAATAACTATTAAAATTTGTGCTATTTACTAGTTAAATCTATGAGGCATTAATTAGAAACCCGTAGTTTTAAGTGCGCTAATGTTTTTACACAAGCTCTTTATTTTATTTTACTTTAGCGATTTGAGATCATTAATGCAATTTATGAGCCCACAGAAGAAGAATGTGAATGGAAACCGGATGAGGAGGAAGAAGTTTCGGTGAGTGCCGAAGGGCTCTTCCTGTCTCTTAGGACAAGGACTTCTTAGAAGAAGTGCATTTGTTTTTCTTTTTTTCCTTTTCTTTCTTTTTTTTAATTTTTATTACTTTTTGAGACAGGGCTTCTGTAGCTTTGGGACCTGTCCTGAACTAGCTTTGTAGGTCAGGCTGGCCACAAACTCAGAGATCCATCTGACTCTGCTTCCCGAGTGCTGGGGTTAAAAGCACCACCACCCAGCTCAGAAGTGCTTTTATCTTCTTAAAGTGTGGCCTTATATAAATGGCTGTAGGTTCTGGGTCTCAGTGGTGTTCTCACACCTGGGGAATGCCCTTTTTGCATGGGGATAATGCAGATGAACCACTCTTCAATCTGGCATTGTCTTTTATACTATTTTGAGCTTTTTGTGTGGTTTCCTTTGAACTTTATGATGACGGGCAAGGAACCAGACAGGTTTCAGTTGCCCTGCCTGCAGTGAATAATGGCAGTCGTGTCAGATCTGTGCTGTGTTCTGTGGCCTGGTCAGTACGTTATTCTGTTTCAGTGCCAGACTGCACATTGGGCACAGGATTGGGTGTCCCTGCAATCCTGATCTGCCTGGTGGTTCTTGATTTCTGTGGAAGTGAGGTTTGGATGAGGACAGTACTTGCACAGTTAAACCAGAACATTGAAGGTTGACAGTTACCCTTAGTGAAATAGGGGTCATAAGCCTATCCAAAGACCCAGTATAGTCATTTAGATGTTTGCTGTCCTTTTTCAAGGAGGAACTGAAAGAAAAGGTCAAGATTGAAGATGAGAAAAAGGATGAAGAAAAAGAAGACCCTAAAGGAATTCCGGAATTTTGGTTGACAGTTTTTAAGAATGTTGATTTGCTCAGTGATATGGTTCAGGTAATTTAATTCACAAGACCACCTGTTTACCTAAAAAAAAAGTCTGACATTTAAATATCTGTGGTTGCTAATTTCTTCACTTGACTTATAGTTTTATAGAAAGAATTTGACTTTGATTAAAGTATTTGGTCAAATTTAGTAATAAAATAGTGTCTTTGGTGATTGATCATTATCAGCTGGTTCCTTCTCATAGTTTATAGTACCTTCTTGGTTTCTTGTGCTTTAGTATCTCAAGGCAGGGTGGTGAGGAAACTTGGGTTATTTCATTTGTATTGCCCTGAAATATTTTTTTTTTTGAAACTTGCTAATCCAGGGGATATTTGCGCCTTAGAATATAAAGCTATTTAACTCATTCGCAAATGTCTTAATCCCCAGAAAAGCAGAGACGTTAGCTTTCCTTGGGAAACTGCCTCACTTCTTGAGCCCTTGGCCTGGGTTGTATTGATTACGGGGCGGTGACAGCAGCAGAAGCGAGTGCGAGTTGTGTTCCTGCTTTCCCGGTGTGTGAAGGGCAGCAGTGTGAAGGGAACAGTGAAGGGCAGCAGTGTGAAGGGAGCAGTGTGAAGGGAACAGTGAAGGGCAGCAGTGTGAAGGGAGCAGTGTGAAGGGAGCAGTGTCTAGGGCAGCAGTGTGAAGGGCAGCAATGTGAAGGGCAGCAGTGTGAAGGGAACAGTGAAGGGCAGCAGGTCTCATCGGGAACGTGGTTAAAAAGGGCCGTTCATAGATCAGTCAATATGAGGTAGCTTCAGTTCCCTAAACCAAAATAACCTGGCTGAGAAGCTTTAGGGTTCATAGTTCCTATACAAAACTTCACTGTAGTAATGGTATTGAGCCTAAGATGCCAAGTTAGATAATAATGTTTATTTTAATTTGCAGGAGCACGACGAGCCTATTCTGAAGCACTTGAAAGATATTAAAGTGAAGTTCTCAGAGGCTGGCCAACCCATGGTAAGACAGCTTAAATACTTAGTTTCACAGTGTTTACAGGCAGGTTTAAACGGATGGTCTTCGAGGGTTAGGGGTGGAAGTGAGGGATTGCAGCAGACACAGGGTGCTCTCTAAATTAAATACATTCGTTTTGGGTATCCTAGATCAGAGTGGATAAAATAGAACAAAGTAACAGTGTGTGCAGTGTGGCATTTGCCTGGGGTGCCTTCAGGTAGATGGTGCCAAGGGCCTCCCTGGGGAGAGGTCAGCTCACCGTCCCTCCTGTGCCTGTTACCTGTGGACGGAGCTGTGAATAAAGGCTCAGTCTTTCGTGTTGTTGGAGGTCCAACTTCATATTTAAAACCAGTGTCTCTGGAGAGATGGAAAGAAGGGGCACTCGGGAATTTATTTAGATTTACCTAACTGATTTAATTTGAAACCGTATTTATCTTGTGCCTTCATTTACTTTTAGCTATAATGTAATTACGGGTTCTCTTATTCCTGTTAGGATTATATTTCAGTGGGAAGACAGCATTGCATGCTTATCAAACCATGGGTCAAGCTGTGTATTAATGCATTGAAATTCACGGTTTAAGAATTTAACTCACTTTTGTTTTCTTTTAAAGAGTTTTATCTTAGAATTTCACTTTGAACCCAATGAATATTTCACAAATGAAGTGTTAACGAAGACTTACAGGATGAGGTCAGAACCGGATGATTCTGATCCCTTTTCTTTTGATGGACCAGAAATTATGGGCTGTACAGGGTGAGTTAATTGTGCTATGTTTTTCGTTTAATTGTAGGCAGAGCTTACAGTATTACATTCCCTTGTGCATCCTGTTAGATTGCAGTCTGCCATTTTCCTCTGGGTCTGGCTATAGCATGTGTATTTTTGGGAAAGACTATGTTATTCACTCTTTTTATATCGTGTTATTGCTATTGTAAATCTGTAAACTTTAATGCTTTGTTTAGAAAGTTTTCCCATTTAGGTTTCATTATCCTCTAAAAATTTAATTTCACATATGAACTCTTAAAATCTAGAAGTCACGTGTAGTAAAATACTATGAATTCTATATATTTTGTTTCCTAAGGTGCCAGATAGATTGGAAAAAAGGAAAGAATGTTACTTTGAAAACCATTAAAAAGAAGCAGAAACACAAGGGACGTGGGACAGTTCGTACTGTGACTAAAACAGTATCCAACGATTCTTTCTTTAATTTTTTTACCCCCCCTGAAGGTGAGTAGTGTCTTAGTGGTTGTATATGTCAGTGCTTATTGTAAATATTGGTGTTTTTTTTCACATTTGGATTTCTTTTCTTTATTTTGCAGTTCCTGAGAATGGAGATCTGGTGAGTTGAGTGTTTATTCAACTTAGCATATATAAAATCAAAAAGCTAGACTTTTTTTTTTTTCTTAAGACAGGCTTTCTGTAGCACTGGATGACCCAGAACTCAATTATTTAGACCAGGCTGGCTTGAACTCACAAAAGAGTCACCTGCCTCTGCTTCCCAGGTCCTGGAATTAAAGGCATGCACCGCATCTGTTTTATGTGTAGTAGTTGGGAACATGTGTGAATTCCACTTGTGTGCACGATGCCTGCATGAGTCAGAAGAGGGTATAGAATCTGCTTGAACTAGAGTCTTTAAACTAGGTGTGGGTGGCTTGCAGGTGTTGACCACAGAATCCTGGGTCTTCCTTCTGTAAGCAGCCAGTGCTATTAACCAGTGAACCGTACCTGCTGAGCCATCTTGTCAGCTCTATTTCCAGTCTTTCCAAAGGGGATGTCACAAAGTTGCTTTTTTTGCCTTTTTGCTCTTTAAACAAGAAGCCATATATAATAAATAAATAGATCCAGTTTTTATTTAGTATGATTTCTTTGTGTCTGTGCTGGCCTGCTAAGATGTAAGTGACCCCTTGTTCTATTCTTTTAAGTGACAGGAGAGCAAACTTGAACTTGCACGTGACAATGATTTTTCTTTATAGGATGATGACTCTGAGGCTATTCTGGCTGCAGACTTTGAAATTGGTCACTTTTTACGGGAGCGGATAATCCCGAGATCAGTGCTGTACTTTACTGGGGAGGCTATTGAGGATGATGACGATGATGTGAGTCTGCTTGAATCCTGCTGCGGGGTCTCTGGGGCGGGCACCATAGCCGAACTTTGACAGGGTTAGATTGTTTAGTAAAAGTAGGACAGATGAATTCTCAGTTTTTCTCAGTTTAGAAGTGTCTAGGATATTTGGGTTCATTATTTTCAGTTTTTTTTTTCTGTTAGAAAAATTATTGAGTTGATGCAACTTGGTTACCAATGGATATATTTTACTCTTAATTTGATGTCATGAAACAACAGAGCTCTTTGAGTGTTCATAGGTGTAGATTGTAAAGAAGTCTTAAAGGGAAGTGCTTCAGCCTGTAGCTAGAGCAGAGTTGGGAAATTTTTATGCAGTTATTGGCTTTCTTTCTTTTTTTTAACTTACTATATTTGCTGTATGATGGGTGCTACAGATGCAATATTCATTCACACTTTGTCCTCTCTTTTCAGTATGATGAAGAAGGTGAAGAAGCTGATGAGGTAATGTTTACCAAATGAACAAATAATTCACTGTATAACACATTGAGGAGAAAATTATTGAATGATTAATGTATTCCTTTGCCATAATCATTCTGTGATTTGGGATAAATTTTGGAAAATATGATTTTAGAATTCTACAGCCAAACAATGTATGTATAAGGTTTCAATAAATAAATTGCAAAACTCAGCAACATTTTTTTTTTATTTCAAATAATTTTGTTCTGCTGCAGGGTTATCAGCTCTTTGAAGAAGTCAAAAGCTGCAGTAAACTTTTCCAACGTTGGCTGCAGTAAATCTTTTCAATAAAAGCTGTCTGGATGTCTCAAGTTGTGTTGGGAAATTTTTCATGTTAGCCGCTTTCAAATTAAATTGTATTATCAACAAACTCTGTAATCATGAAAATCTGTTGACCCATAGAGTAACTTGTACTAAAATTTCCGTACATTATGAGTCAATTTTTCCTAATATGTACCTACTTCATGGATGCATTTTGAACTTTAATATAGGAAGGGGAAGAAGAAGGAGATGAGGAAAATGACCCTGACTATGACCCAAAGGTGAGCAAAGCCAGTGCTTCTTCTCAGTTGAACTTAGACTGAAGTTAGTAGATAAGACTCCTAAATGCTCAGTATCTCAGACTTGGCTGTTTCTAAGGATTAAAACTTTATTTAGTCAGATTGGTTTCCTCCCAAAAGGAAATTATAATTAGTGTTTAATTGGCTAGCTAAAGAAGATCTGAATGCAGGAGTGCTTTGAACTCGCAGTGCTGTGTGCTGGATTCTTCCAACCACTATCACTGTTACTTAATCCCTAAAAGCCACTCTCTTCAGAGATCCGTTTGATTTCATTCATCAACCATACGCTGTGAAATATCAGGAAGGTACTTTTTAATAAGCAAGTATAAGGGAAGTAAATAAGTACTTTGATAGGTATGAGTTAGTCTAATAATAACTAAATATAAACAGGTTATCTTTGAGAATAAGAAGACTTGTTAAAAAATGTCCAACAGGGTGATTATTTTAAAGATTTATCTCAGATAAAGCTTTTTTGTATACATAAGTGACTTGCTAATATTAAATAATTTATTACTAACCCACATCACTTGTTTTTACCATCATTTTTATAATACTGTGATAAAGTGACTATTGTTTAAAAAAATTCAAAGTAGGTAGAAGCTAGATTGACGTATTGTTTTCCTTTAACAGAAGGATCAGAACCCAGCAGAGTGCAAGCAGCAGTGAAGCGGAAGGCCTGGCCTTGAGGACGGCCTACCCTGTAATAGCCTAAGCTCGACTCAGTTACTCACAGCCTTATGGTTTTGTATTTTCTTGGTAGAATCAGTAAGTTTTTAAAGGAAAGGAAATTGATATTTTAAAGACCAATTTGTTCTGCCTAGACTCCTGTCAGATATGTTGAATGCATATAAACCCTCTCTATTGCATGTTCATTTATTGCTGCAGCTTGGTTCTTCTGGAATATTTTCATCATGTAGCTATTGTAATACAATTATGAAAATCAACTGTTGAACTCATTCGGTTTAGCTGCAGCCTTCCTAAAGAACCAAAGTTGGTTTCAGCTGGTAGAAGTTGAAGTCCGCCTGCATCCGCTAGTGCTTCCCTTGTGTTTAGGGGATGCAGTGAGTGACACTGGAGAAGGAGAATTGTGGATGAGAATTTCCAGTAAGAGCAAACCTAATGACTGAGGGTATCAGGGAGTTTGTATTTTAGATGCTGTGACAGAAGTCAGTTCGTGGCATTAGTTAAACAAGCTGAACAAATGCTAGGCATTGTTTTTTCTTGTTTTGTTTTGTGTTGTGTGTTTTTTTTTCCAGAATTTAATCTGATAGTATTTAAATGTACTTGGAAAACCTCCATTAATGAACTATCTTTTCTTTGTGGTAGGAACTACCTTCTGCTTTCCTGAAAAGGATGGACTTACATCATTTGAACCTATTTTGAATTTTTCTCTTGTTTGTTTGCCTAATTTTGTTTTTATAGCCTACAATAAAAGTGTCACACAGTTTGAGGTGTCAGAGGATGTCTCAGTTTGTGCGGATTGAGGCTTGCAGAGGGTTAGGTAGCTTGAGTTCAGGGATGCCTAGTTTTCCATGCTGAACAACTTTGGAGAAGGGAATACATATGTACACACGTGCTTTGAAAACTAACAAGTATTGTACGATACTTTTTTTTAAACAAAGGTTAAATTCTATTCGTTAGAACTAAGTATCTTTGTGACTGTTCATTTGAATACTTAGTGCTCAAGGATGAGTAGTGTGTCACTTAGCCATGCTTCTGTTTACTGTGGAGAATTGAGAATGGGTGGTACTGTTGATTTAACTACCTCATAGATATGTTAAGGCATATTGGGGTAATTCTCACATCTTCTGGATCTTACTCAATGCCCACAAGAATCAGGCCTCTGGACCACAAGTGTGATGGTCAGCATTATATTCACACCCAGCTTGAATCATTAAACTGGAGAATGAGCTCCTACTCTCGTGGGAATGGATGAAATCATATACGACTTCCAGAGATTAGAGGGTTTCTGTCTTTGATTTAGTTTCCTCCCCCTTTTGAGTGTTTCAAGTGACCACGTATAATAAATCCCAAAGTGGTAATGAGGCCATTGCAGGGGGTGATGACATTAAACTTTTAGATGCTAGGAGCCACGTTTAAAATACCTCAGGCTAATTACTGTTCATTTTGGGGGAAAGGGACTTTGCCTCCCAGGCTGTAGTAATTGGGTTTTAGAGGACAGTCTTTCATGTCATTCCTGCTGTTAATCAAATTGACATCGAGTTTTTTTCCCTTTTGTGAAGAGCTGACATTCTTTTTGTGAAATTTCAGTATTAAGGTCTTAGGATGTGAACACATTCTATAACCTCTTCCTGAGATTTTTAACTACTGGAAATCCTTAACCAATTACATTATTTCCTTTATTTTGAAAATGATTTGGTTGCTTTCTATTAGATTGTTTGTGCTATTTTCTGTAATCATAGTTCATCTAAACACAGCTTATTTTCTTGAACATAAAGTTTGTAATCAAAAGATAGAAAGAATCCCGTTTTCGGTGACCTTAAAGAGCTAGCACAGTCTTTTCCCTTCCTTACTTAGGAAGTAGCTGTTGCCAAAGTGAACAGGTAGCTGGTTCTTGTTGTATGATCGGAATGTGCTTTGGACATGGGGGTCGGTGTTCATTATGACATTTTGTCAGTCCCCAAATGGTTCTATTCCATTCTAGAAGTCTGAAATAATGTAATTTGAAATCCTTAATAAAATTGGATCTAATTTTATAAAATACTGGTGATACTTGGAGTTTTTACAACTACACATAATTTCTTTGAAGATTGGAGAGCAGCTATTCTGTGCTTAAACCACTATGACCTGTTAAAATAAAATTGATTTTCAGAGAACCTTAGCCACGTGAATTTGTAATATGAAGAACAGAAAGATTCCACAGTGCAATTCTGATTTTATACTCTCAGTGCTTAAAGTATTCTATTCATGCAATGTCAAGATCTCTTTTCCCCCTAAGACATGACGTGAGCCCTGTACAGTTCTTTATAAACACAAACCTCTGAGAAAGCAGCTGGAAGGCTGATAATCTTTCAGGTCTGGTAATGGACAAAGTAGTAGACTCACAGCTTGCTGAGTGTCAGGTGCGGTGCTGGCTCTGCTCCTTCTGGGCAGATGACATTATTTGCAAGTGGTGAGTGGGCAACAGAAGAATGGGATCTGCCTTTTTGTAATCTCATTTACAAACACATAAGAAAGAAGACATTAGCTTTGACAGATATTTTTGTGTGTAGTTATGGTGGAGTCTTAATATTACTGTTTGTAAGGCCAAATTTGTGGGGTTAGCTGAGTTCCAGGCTATTCTCATTTAAAATTACAAAACAGCTGAAAGCCGTATGTTGCTTGCAGAAATACTTGAATGTTGTGATTTCAGGGTTGGTTTAAGATTATAGTTCATTTTTAATGGTCAGTGTAGTAAGACTTAGCCTTTAATTTTGACTTTAAATTAAAAGATGTTAATTTTGATTTGCAGAATACATAAGCGTATACAGGGACTTTGAGAAACAAATGTGCCACACAGTTCTTAAATATTCTTATATAAACTCGGTGTTTATAATTACCAGTGTTTATAATACCAGTGTTTGGTAACTGGCCACAAACTACTGAGTTTCTAAAAGTAAATGTATCTGACAGTGGCAAAGTATTAACAGTATTATCTGGTATTAACTGATGTGTTGTGTATAATGGTTTACAATTCCAGACATTAAACTATAACCTGGGATTTTAAAAAAAGTTCTTGAACTATTTAAGGTTTATTACACACTTTTAGAGAAATGGAAAATGGTCTAGAAATTTTCATTACATACTTTGTAGCCTGTTTCATGTTGACGTCCTACTGTAGTTTTAGGGTTTTCAGCTTGCTTCAAAAAATAAGCAGATTCTTTGATATCAAAAGAGAAATTGGGCACAACAACGTGAAAACTGTTGACAGGAACTGAGACTTTCATGAAATAAAGCGCATGTTTAGGCAGTGCTTTCAAATGGTGTCTAACTGAAGAGGACTTAGAACAGCTGATCAGGGACAGTAACACACCCAGCAGGTTTATTTAATGCCTGTGGGTCCACAAAATAGTTTCTGCCAGGATAAAAACTTGTGGCTGGTGGGTGACTGGAATTTTGAAGGTGAGCAGGAAATGGATGACGTTTGGCTAGCGGAACCAAACTGAGATAGAGGCTAGGGAGGGTCCTACCTAGGCTTACAGGAAATCACCAAGGCTTAGAGTGAGGAAGCAGAAAGTGGTCTGTAGGCCCAGATGAGGTAATGGTGTCACTGCACAAGAAGGGTAGCTTCGCTGCGGCTTTTTTCCCCTCCTGACTTTAGAACTAGGAGATTCCCTGGGCATTTTCCTGCCATTTTTGTGTGCTCACACAGTCTTAGTTATTCCTGAGTTACTTGACAGAAAGTTAAGCCTGGTGTGCTGTTGGGGCTGTATTTTTCCCATATGAAAATACCCTCCCCGCCCCTTTGGCTTTTTGGGACAGGGGTTTCTCTTGTGGTCTTGGTGTCTGTCCTGGAACTAGCTCGTGCAGACCAGGCTGACTTCAAACTACCCCTGTCTGCTGGGACTAAAGGTGTGCACCACCACCATCCGGCTGAAAGTATTTTAATCAACCAATTGATCAAAGTTTAAAAATATCTTAAAATGCAGTTTTAATTCATTTTGGTCATTACATACCTCAGGCCTGATTGGTAGTACAGATGTGCTTTGATTTTGTATGAAATTGAATTAAGACTTGAGAGGCTTCCTATTCATAGGCTCAGGTCTCACTCATTTCTTAAAAGTAACTGGTGTATTGCAGAGGACCCAAGTTCACTTACAACACAGTGATTTACATAACTCCTGTTGAAGGGAGATTAAGGAACTAGGCATACAGTCATCCTTCATGAGCATAAAATAAAAAAGTCTTCAGAAAAGAAAAAGTAGCCCATGTTGGTAGGTAAGCTTTTTCTTGGGTCAGTTTAAGGATTTTTGAAATGAAAAACAAAATAATCCATTATAAAATACAGATCGCTGACTTCCCTAATACATAGCATTTGGTGACTTCTAGAAGTTTGGTTCCTCTTTTGGGATAATACGAGTGAAATTGGGAGAGATGTAACTTTTCTATTAAAAGCATGCACTTTTAATACAGTAACCAGGAGTAATCTGTTCCCTAGAGCCTTTAATGACCAGGTATGAGGGTAATTCATCGGTGGGTGACATGATTAAACTTGGACTTTGGCCTTCCTCCTGTTTGCCAGCATTGATCCGTATTAAGAAAGATGAACAGTAAGAAAATACATCTAGTGCCAGTGTGATGTAACCATGGAATTCATTAAGTTCTCAATACAAGAAAACTTAAAATTGATGGTTTTACTTTGTGAGCATAATTTGGAAAATCATTCTAGAACTTGATGTGACTTTCAACATTTAAAAAATACATTGTTCTGCCTACGTGTATGCATACACGCCAGAAGAGGGCACCAGAGAGGCATGGTTGTAAGCCATCATTTGGTTGCTGGAAATTGAGCTCAGGACTTGGAAGAGCAGCCAGTGCCTAGGTAACAGGTGCCTAATAGACTGGGTAATATTACTAAAGCAATGGCCCTACTGAAAGTTTTTCAGGTTTGTTACCCTTAATTTCAAAGACACATAAGAATACCTGTGTGACCTCCGGTCTGGTGGTATCCAGAGAAGACAAGGATAATGAAGTCAATTTCATCATTCCATCTTTAGCCTGATGAGCTGGGCTTTGAGCCTCTTAGATGTCTGTCTTGGTCAGGTGTGATTTAGGGCATGTTTCCAGCATTGTGGGGAGGGTTCTTATATATGCTTGCCATACACTAGTTGGGAAAGAATTTACAGTGGCAAGTAAAGCTGCTGCCATTTAGATTGAAGAAGGCTAAAACAGTTACTTGGGTATCTAGTGAAACAGATTTTAAACTGCTTTGGTTTCTATTTAGAGAAGGCTTTCATTCTGTGGGCCTGACTGGTCTTTACATCCAGCTGGGCTCTGAAGACCTCTTCCGGTTTGCAAATGTGCTGCGCATATGGAAACCTTTCCCAATAACCGCCCCCTCCCCCCATTGCCTGAAAGGAGCAAAAATAAAGGACAAGTGCAGGGGGTAGGAACTGGAGTGTCACAACGAAGACCTTCAAGTGTGTTGGAGCTATACGGTGAAGCTGGTCTGCATCCCTGTAATTAATTGCCTTTAATTTTGAAGAGGCAGTGAGCCTGTTACAACAATTGATCACTAGGGGGCACTCGTTCATCAGCTAATACTGCAGAAACCCTGAGCTGTGCATCTTGAAAATTGAGAATAACATAGAAATGAAGAATTTTGAGAGTTTCTTTCAAAAAATTAGGAAGTGGCTGTGAAATCTCATGTGGATGAGACAATCTGTTTTATACACTTGACATTTTCCTGGTATAGCACCGTTTAGCTTTTCTCTTTTGAGATAGTGTCTCGCTGTAGCATAGGCGGACTTTGTGCCATCTTCCTGCCATAGACTCCAAGGTGCTTAGATAACTTAAAAGGAAAATTTTGTCTTAGTGTGCATGTAATGGAGTGATACAGTTTGGTGCAATGGCTTGAGAGGCCAGCAAGCACCCTCACCTCCTGAGCTATTATACCAGTTTTTAACTCTTGCAGACATAAATGCCTCACAATATTGCTCAGAAAAAGACTTTGATTCAATGTGACCCAATCCAGACAGACTTAAGAATGTAAGAGTCAGACTTGTATGAGGTGTGACATCTTGGAGTTTTACACCATCTTTATAGCCTACACCTTGAACTCATGGTTTGGCCTTACAAGCATTGCTGTTTACACCCTGAGAGGCCAGCCTTGGAAGGTTTCTGTTCCAGAACAACCAATGGGCAGCCTGCACCACATCTTTGTCCCTGTTCTTACCTCCGAATTGAACTGCTGTGAGCTGGCTGCACGTTTGTATGTCCAGATCCCTTACACAACCATGTACGGGGTGGTAATGATGCATCCACTCCTTCATTCAGTCCTGGAACTGTTTGGATGCCGTTTAGGGCCCTTACGAATAGTTTTTCACTTCAGAAGTCTATTACTCTTTGGCAGTAAGTACTTGTGTGTGCCAGCCAGTGGAAAACAACAATGTCCTCAAAAGTTGAATGAGCTATTATTTATGTAAAGCAAAACATCTTTTAAACGATTTCCTACAATGCGTTTTCTGACAATGGATCTTGGGTTTTGCTTTTCTTAAAGACCTTTATTACCAGTGAAGTGGTAATGGTGGCTGTTGAAAACTGAGCAGCGTTTCAGTCTACAAAAGTCTAAAGTTCACTGCGGTTCATTTTATTAAGTCTAGTCAGAATTAAGTGGGTACATTTGCAATCTGTGTTAGCTGTTGGCATTTCCAAGTAATTTAGGAAAAGAGTGAATGTTTTGAATGTCTTTGTCAACTATATCTGGCTTCAGGCACTCAAGTTTCTTTTACGGATGCCATTCTGCTAAGAAGATGGACAGCTGGTCATGTAGGAACTGGGCTGCTCACTTGTTCTACAGAGGCAGGGGGAAAAGAAAGATGTTTACTACTAGTCATAGACATATGAGGAGATACTCTTCATGTTTAATCGCATTAGAAATCTTTACATAATTCTGATCCTTTACTGAAGAAGTATGATAGACCCTGCAATACAGCCAAATTCATTTTAGTGTTTTAAAACAAATTCATACTGTGTTTTAAGACATTTCTGTTAGAAATATAAAAGGTTTTTAAAAAAAAAATTGTTTTTTCGAGACAGGGTTTCTCTGTAGCTTTGGAATCTGTCCTGGAACTAGCTCTTGTAGTCTAGACTGGCCTCGAACTCACAGAGATCCGCCTGCCTCTGCCTCCTGGTGCTGGTATTAAAGGCGTGCGGCTAGAAATACAACTTTTTAATTTCTTAGTCTGGTAAACAAGGACTTTAAATACTTGGTGTTTCACTTTCTCTTTGCTTGCCTTCTTGTATATTGCCGTGACAGCAACCTGACTATTAGGTGCTACCCTTATGGTGACAGTAGACTAAGAGGTTATTTTTCCTAAACTAGAGAATGTCTCTTCCTTTTATCCTGCATTACCAGGAAGTAGCATAGCGTCTCGGAAATGTACAAGAACGGGAGTAGGATCTTCCCAAAGTTAGATTCTAATAGGTGTTTGTAAGACACCTGCCAGCGCTTACAAAGGAGAGAGACCACGAACTACTGACAACTAAGCTGCTGGAGAGAGAGATGGTCGAGCAGTTAAGAGCTCCTCTCGCAGAGGACACTGGTTCAATTCCTAGAACCCACATGGCGGCTCACAGCCTAAATTCCAGTACCAGGGCATCTGCTGACTTCAGACTCGCGTTCACACACATGACATTAGGGAACAAAAACCCGAGCGCGGTGTCGGGGGTTAATCTTGCTACTGCTGGTACCCTGGGTGGAAAGAGAAGATGGTACCTGGCAAGAGTCCACCCTTTCCCTGCCAATATACCCAACCGGTAGCAGTAGTGTTTTAATGGCTGAAAAAAGTACGGAGCATTCTTGGGCTTTGTTGTTTACGTGGCCATCTGTAAAGTCATACCAGGGAACCCTCTCCGCGCTAACCCTGGCTTTTCAGGCTACCCTCCCGGAGAGCGGAGAGCCCACCCGCCTAGGAAGGGCGGGATCGTGGGGTGGGGGTGGGGATGGCCTCTCGGCGCCCTCTGGGCGTAGGCATCCGTCGCCCGGCCGCCTGGCAGTCGCGGCGACCTCGGCGACCGACCGCGTGGAGCCGCCAGGAGTTTCCGGAGCTAGGAGCCGGCTCAGAAGGCCGTGGGCGGCGGGGGTGGAGTCGGGGGCGGGGCTACGGGGCGGGCCCAGGGCTCGGGGGCGTGGTCGCGGCGGGCTCGGGGAAGGTCCCAAGTTAATGAGGCGGACGCCGGCTGCCGAGCGCCTCTCGGAGCTGGGTTTTCCCCCGCGGCGCGGGCGCCAGGAGCCGCCTTTTCCGCTGAGTGTCACTCGGGGGTGGGGTGGGTGGCCCATTGAAAAGCGCCGCGAGGGAGCCCGGCCAGTGCCCTTCGGTGAGCGCTCGCGGGAGGACGGCGGAGAACAGCCTGCTCGCGGCTCCGGGATCTTGTGGCGCATCAGGACGCGGTTGTCCCTCTGCCGGGACCCCGAGCCGCCACCGCCGCCACCACCACCCCTCTGCCTCCTGCGAGTCAGCCTCCTCTGCGCGCTCCGGGCGGGCGGCCGCGGAAGCCGCTGGGGTGAGGACAGCGCGCGGCGGCTGCTGCTGCCCCCAGCCCGGGCGTCTGGAAGCCGAAAGGCCGAGCCGAGCAGCGGCACCCCTTATGCCGGAAGGATGCTGGAGAGCAGCGGCTGCAAGGCGTTGAAGGAAGGAGTGCTGGAGAAGCGCAGCGACGGGCTGCTGCAGCTCTGGAAGAAAAAGTGCTGCATCCTCACCGAGGAAGGGCTGCTGCTTATCCCGCCCAAGCAGCTGCAACAGCAGCAGCAACAGCAACAGCAGCAGCAGCAGCAGCAGCAGCAGCAGCAGCCCGGGCAGGGGACAGCTGAATCGTCCCAACCTAGTGGCCCCACGGTCGCCGGCCTTGAGCCACCAGTCAAGCTCAAGGAATTGCACTTTTCGAACATGAAGACTGTAGACTGCGTGGAGCGCAAGGGCAAGTACATGTACTTCACTGTGGTGATGGCGGAGGGCAAAGAGATCGACTTTCGGTGCCCCCAGGACCAGGGCTGGAACGCGGAGATCACGTTGCAGATGGTGCAGTACAAAAATCGGCAGGCCATACTGGCGGTCAAGTCTACGCGGCAGAAGCAACAACACCTGGTTCAGCAGCAGCCTCCGCAGACGCAGCAGATCCAGCCCCAGCCCCAACCCCAGCCGCAGCCCCAGCTCCAGCCCCAGTCCCAGCCGCAGATCCAGCCTCAACCGCAGATGCCGCCTCAACCTCAACCCAAGCTTCAGTCCCAACAGCTCCACTCCTACCCGCATCCGCACCCTCATCCTCATCCCCACCCGCACCAGCACCCGCACCCGCACCCGCACCCACACCCTCATCCACACCAACTCCAGCACGCGCACCAGCCTCCTCACTCGCAGCCGCCGCTCGGCCACCGGCTTCTCCGCAGCACCTCCAACTCCGCCTGAAGAGGGCGGCACCCAGGGCCCCTCTAGGTAAGGTCCTAGCAACTTGGGACACCAAGAAACGTTGTCAGCGCGGTTGTTGGGAAGGATAGAGAGCTTGTTCACCTGTTCCGCTCTCGAGGCAAAATGAAAGATCCTTGCAAGTTTCTGGAGAGGTGACGAGAAGAAGGGCAAGTTGTATCTGGTAGAGGCCATGCGGGGAGGGAAGGACAGCAGCTCGGCCAGGGAGCGGGCACGGTGGATGGACCACTTTCCTATCACCGTGATCGCCCTTGGTCAGTGCCATGTATACCCTCGTACTGCTTTATCGTGTGTCTCTACACCAAGCTAACGACGTGGTGTCTTTCTGGACACTATCCTTTGGGCTGGCCGGGAGGGAACTGACTTCTTGACTTCTGAGCCACCCATTTCATTCCGTGTCATTTCTTTGCAGGTTTCGAGGACTTCGGGAAGTGGGACAAACGCATTGCTGTTGTGTTTCACTTGGATCAAAAGCAACAGTCTCCCCCACCCGTGCCCGCTCAAGTAGTCTGGACATCACCCGACCGATAAACTTGCTTGCAGTTCACTTAGGTTTCTGCATAATCTTCATCACCGTGCAGGAAGCGATTCTGAGTCAAGACGACTTTATTTATGAACCTTGGGAAGGATCTTCTAACGTAATGGACCTTGTAGGAGCAATTTATGTACTGTAATTTTATTTTAATGTATTTTGGTTTATGATTATTTATTAGTTTTTTTTATGCCTATTCTAAGACATTTCTGAATGTAGGCCAACCCCTCCCCCCCAATGAAACTTTATTTTCAGAAACCTTTTTCCCAGTAAGCCTACTCGGAAAAGAAAAGGGGTGGTGGAGGGGGCAAACACTAAAAACTGATTCCTTATCCGTACGACGTTCTCAGAAAGTCGGCTCTTTCATTGTATTTGAAGACGTTGAAATTAAACTCTGACGTTACTTTTACTTGTTTAGGTCTCTGTCATAGATGTGTAGTTTGTACAGTTTATTTTTTTAAGCCAAAGGATCAGCATGTATAATTGTGAAAATCTGAAGGTCAGGGTCATGCTCTTCTATGAAGAACTCAGTAGGAATGACACTGGATTTCAAAATAATTTCAATCCTGCCCAGTCGAGGACAAGATGGGCTTGGTACCGTGGTAAACGGAGTCTGTGGGAGGGAGGAAACTTGCTGAGTCTTGATAGAACCGAGAGCAGGACTCAAGTGATTCGAGTGACAGGCCCCTGGGATTCAGTCCTGGTACACCCCCCCCCCCCACACACACACAAAACCGTCATTTTGATTGTGAATATCAGTGCACCCACGTTTTTATTTTAAAATGTAGGGGGTGCCCCTCTTAGCTGTGAGGGTATTTCTACCCCTGTTCAGAATGCCATGCGGCTCACCAAGAGCTCTGCCTGTTCGGCTCGGACCATGTTTTACCCCCTCGCCGTGCACCCTGAAAACAATCTGTGAGTGTGGCCAGGAGTCATAACTTCTGTCACCCTGGAAATAATACCGAGCAGAGCTAGCGACTCTTTCCTCTGCATTGCTCCGGGAGAAAGCGAAACCTTCCACGTTTTGGTTAGACGGCTAAAGTCTCAGGCAAGCAGGAGGGACTGGAGACGCCCCAGATCGGTGGTTCTCAACCTGTGGGTCACGACCCCCTTGAGGTTGACCCGCCATTTCACAGGGGTGGCATACCTGATGCCCTGTGTAGCGGATATTTGTGTTATGATTCACAACCGTGGCAGAATTAGAGTAATGAAGTAGCAGCGAAAGTAATCTTTAGATTGAGGGAGGTCACCACAACATGAGGAACTATATAAAGGGGTCACAGCTTTAAAGCCCGAGGATCACCTCTTCAAAATTTGTCAGTAAGAAAACTCTTGCTTTAACAGCCTCTCGTTCAGGATGCTGAGGGGGTGGAGGAGGAGAATGTGCTTTTAAAGGTAGAACAAACTCTCCTCTGTGTAAAATCAGAGGGAGGATCAAGATCCACAAAGCCCGGGCAGACAGACACCGCTTTAGCGGAGGAGTCTCGGGTAAGACCGAAGTCTCTTGGGGCTGAAAATCACTTCCTAGCTGCCTGGTTTTACTAACTGTTCCCTTTCGCCCTGACCTTTTCACGGCGCCAGTGTTTTTCCAGCATCCAGATTGCTCTTTTTCAGAACTGAGAACAGAAAGATTTGGTGAGGGGAACGCTGTGATTTGGAAGTAGTAAATTTAGTTGGAAAGTTGCAGGGAGAAACGAGAACTCCAGACATGAAAGAAAGGCTGACTGAGTTCCCACTTTCAGGGCTGTCTAATATGGAGCTGTGAAAATACCCTGCCAAGGTTTAAAACATACCGCGCGCGTATAGCATGACCCCGAGAGCTCCTCTTGACATTTCCCAGGTTTGATTTGGCTTCCTTGGAGCAAGCTTCTGATAGACTGCCCTCAGGTAGTAGAGTAGTTTATACATGCAGATCAGATAACCCAGGTTAGCCCACTGCTCTTCCCAGCTGCAGCGTTTTCCTTCCGAAATTTGTGGATTATCAGGATAGTAAAACCCATCCCAAATGAGGGGGAAATGAAGATTAATGTAGTTTATTTTTTAAAGATACATCTATTGTTGGATTAAATATAGAACTAGGTCATCTCATTGAAAAACCCAAACCAGGCTCCATCTGGGTGGCTAGAATGTTTTCTTTCTTACGGTAGCCATGACTCTTGATGGGATCAACGCAACTGTGGCCTCTTGTCTTGTTGTAGCCTTGTATCTGCAATGACATGTTAAACTGACCCTCGCCAAAGGTTTTTCTGGACATTAAACTGTGAAATCTCAGAGGTTGGAAAGATGAGTTTCTTGAAATGTTTTTGTTTTGTTTTGTTTTGTTTTTCAAGACAGAGATTCTCTGTCTAACAGTCCTGGCCATCCTGGTTGTCCTGGAACTTGCTCTGTATGTAGCCTAGGCTGGGTTTGAACTCATAGAGATCCGCCTGCTTTAACCCCAAATGCTGGGATTAAAGATGTATGCCACCACCACCCAACTTCTTTAAATTGTTTTGATACTCTGAAATTACTACCTTTTTTTTTTTTCTGGGTGAGGGGGGCAAGCATACTCAACAAAACAAAATACAAGTGCATCTGATGGTTTCACTCTACCTGTAGAAAAGTGATACAAACCACCCAAGACACTGGGAAATCTGTCTGGTCAGGAAGGTGGTTTCATCATGGAAAAGTTTGAAAATATGTTTACTCCAAGAAAGAGCAAAGGAGGACAGGTCCAATTAAAACACACACACGTATTCATTGAAAAATGAAAAGGAATGTCCCATCTGGAACTTGAACTATTGTCCTTGAATTTGTGTTGCCTGCCAACCTGGCACACAGCTCAATAACTCAAAAGAAGGAAGGGTGGGTGATGCCTCAGCACCCAGGAGGTGGTCTCTTGCTTCACTGTTTCCTTTATTAGCTCTTCTGTGTCCCGAGACACTGAGGGAACAGGCTGGATGCCGTGACCTTCTTCGGTTGTACTTTCTCAGTAGAAATCCGGTTGGATCTGCTTTGTCCTGAAGTCCGAGAATAAAATGTGCATGAGATCCTTTCAGAAAGCCCGACTTTATCAAACAAGCAAGGACTTCCGAATCCTGGATGGATCGAACCAACTTTCTTGTTTCAATTCATGTATTTTTTCCAGTGACAGTTAAAAAGGAAGTAGTGTATGTTAGTGTTTCCTCTGAATGTAAACAGTGTCAGCAAGGCTGGCTGCCCCTGAAAGGCACGTCTGTGTTAGCTCTTTTTCCCGCCCTCTCTAATTCTCGTAAGTCCCAATTTTAAACCCGATAGAGAGAAAGTATGGTCCACCTGTGTTTCCAGGAAGGGGACATGATTTATTCAGGGGACAGTGTTAACATATCATATTTGGGGCAGGATTGGAAGGGTCTGAGATTCGAATGGATGTAGAATGATTACGCAGCTGACAGACAGTGCTGTGTGGGACAGAGCGGTCTGTGAACTTTTATTTCTTTTAGTGTAACTGCTTGGCTCAGGGTTTGGCTCAGTGAAGAAACACCCTTAGCAGAATCAATTTTAAGTGAGCAAATTATAGATCTAGCAACCCAAGGACCCTTCCACAGGAGTTGCCTAAGCCTGTTAGAAAACACAGATACATTCCGATTCACAACAGCGGCAAAATTATAGTTATGAAGTAGCAACAAAAATAATTTTGTAGTTGGAGGTCACTACAACATAAAGGGTCACAGCATGAGGGAAGCTGAGAACCACTGAAGAGGCTCATATAGCGTGGGCTGGCCTCATACTTGGTAGGTACCTGAGGATGACCTTGAACTTCTGAACCTTTCCTTTCACTTCCATGCTAGGCTCACAGATGTGTACCACCGTTTAGTTTATTCAATGCTGGATAACACGGGGCGGGGGGAAGCTAACACGGGGCCTTGTACATGCTAGGCGAGAAGTGGTGAGCTAACACATGCCTTGTATATGCTAGGCGAGCACTGGCCAGCTAACACATGACCTTGTACATGCTAGGCGAGCACTTTCCAACCGATCGACATCCCCAGCTCTAATTGTTAAATTCTTGACCTAGTTTTGAAAAGTGACTTTTTTTTTTTAAATCTGCAGTTTGAATAAGCAGTCAGTGTATAAGATTGGGTGCCAAAGATACCTGTGACTTTGTCAGCAAATTATTCGCCAAAGAGAAAAGGGGGCATTCTTAGGCCTGGAACTGTAAGTGTAGTGGTAGAATATAAAGCCCTGGGTTTGATCACTCTAAAAGGAGTTTTTCTCCAATGGAGGAAAGATCTCATCTTTAGACACATCCTCCTTGGTACTCAGTAGCTGACCAGCTGGTGAGCCAGTCTGTCTAAGCAGTGGGGAAGCAGGCTCTTGTTTGTTTGTTTGTTCTTTAAAGGTAACTCTACTGATGGTTACCCTTCTGTGTCCAGCCTTGTAATTCAGGTTTTCAGAATATGGAACTACCAGCTTCCCTAACGCAAGCACCACCTTGTTGTGCCAAGGGCTTTACTCACGACTGTAAACCTAAGAACACGGTCAGAATTTGTGTGAAGGTGTAGGAAGGAGTTATTTTTCATGCTTTCAGAATGCATTCCCTTTCAAATAAAGTATCCTTTGGGATGACTTGCTTGTGTGTCTTGGAAGGCCTTAATGCCCAGCATGTCCACTGAATTCCTGAGTGACAGAGATTCTAAAGAGCTTAACTTATAAAGACCGTGGCCATTCTCAGATGAAAGAGGTATCTTTAAGGTTAAGTTTATATTCACTTTTTTTTTTTTAAAGATTGAGAACTTTGAATCTAGAAATTCACTCATCTTTTGGTGAAATAATTAGCTTTCCAAATGCTAATTAGGTTTTGGGGCTAAGCCCACTCTGACTCCTAGGGGGGTGTTCTTTCTATATTTCTACTTCTAAAGAGGAGAAGGAATGGAGAAAATGCTAATGAATTTGAGCTGAATTAATTTTTATTCCAGACGATGAGAAACAGTGCCTAGGGAATTATCTGGAAAGCAGTTTTCGTCTTGAGCCCTAAGTTTCCAGGAAGAGTAAAGACTTGATTAGAGAGCCATCCTTTGAACAGGTACCTCCACAGCATTCTGTTTAGAGCCAAGAGCTGTGATGTGGGAAGTCCTTCTGTCTATGTGTTGCTTTTATTGGTTAATGAATAAACCTGTTTTGGCCAGTGGCTTAGCAGAATAGAGCAAGGCAGGAAAACTAAACTGAATGCTGAGAGAAAGAAGGCAGAGTCAATGAGACGCCATGTAGCCGCCAGAGGAGAAAGCTGCCAGCCGGAACCTTGCTGGTAAGGCCACGAGCCTCATGGTAAAATATAAAATAATAGAAACTGGTTAATTTAAGATGTAAGAGCTTACTAAAAATATGCCTAAGCCACAGTTGAAGAATCCATCTGAAATATATCTCTGTACATTAAGAAAAATCTAACAC